ACCATTGTAAATAATTTTTTAAATATTTTTTCATAATTTTTAAAAAAATTAACTACCTTTTTAATAAAAATTTTAAAATATATCGTTAAAATTTAGTTTTAGATTTCATTTTTATAATTTAAAATTAATATTTAAATAATATTTAAACTATTGTAAAGGGTATTATTGTCAATTTTTAACAAGAAAATAGTAGTTTTCAAATTACTATAAAATTAGGTGTAATTTTAAAATTTCTTATTATATTTAGTATATTTATAAAATGAGAAATTGTTAAAAATGCCCCTTTTTCAATACCCCTTTTCAAAAATGCCCCTTTTGAGAGTCCATTTTTAAGTTTGCCCTCTTTTAATTTTTAATGACCATTTTACCCTTATTTGAAACAAAATTAGGTCCACAAAATACAAAATATTTTTTGGCGGGAAAAGTGATCCCGCAATTTTTCCGCCAAAACACTTGTAAAAACCTTTAAAATACCTTGTAAAATTTTCCCGTAAAAATTTTTCCCGCCACGCCAAAAATTTAACGCCAAAAAATATGCGGAATCACTTTTCCCGCAAAAAAAATTTTTTGGCGGGAAAAAATTTTACGGGAAAATTTTACAAGGTATTTTAAAGGTTTTACAAATTTTTACAAGTGTTTTGGCGGGAAAAATTGGGGGATCACTTTTCCCGCCAAAAAATATTTTGTATTTTGTGGACCTAATTTTGTTATATTTCCTTATATATTTATGATATCTTTTATTAAAAGAAGGGTAATTTAGTCATTTTGTACATAAAAGGGGTATTTTTAAAAATGGACATCCAAAGGGGGCATTTTTGAAAAGGGATATTGAAAAAGGGGCATTTTTGTGAGTCTCCCTTATAAAAATCTCCCTTTATAAAACACCGCGAAAAAATAAATGCTATTACCAAAATTCTGTATTGTACCATTGTGATCTGTAGGAATTAGACTCTCATGATGTCGCGGAAGAATATTCTAAAAATCTATAGATAATTAAGAATTTTAGAAAAAAATTAAACTCAAAATGGTACATGTTGTGATATAGTTTGAAAGTATAGAAGAACAACAAAATTGAAATTATAGGAATTTGAATTTCTTTCTTGTTAGAACAATATACTTTCAATTTTATTTGGAATCATCATAAAAAATATTATTCATCACTATCTAGCATTGTACTTTCAATTTTGTTGCTAATAAATGGTGCATGTTGTGATATAGTTGTGATTCTTGTAGAATAACAACATGCACCATAGTGCACACACAAAAAAAATAAAATAAAAAAACAACATGCACCATTTTCCAATTCCTATAATACATCACTATCTAGTATTATTTGGATTCTTCGTTAAACAAAAAAAATCAATAACAAAAGTTTGATAGTTATCTAAAAAGTTGGATATTTACTTAATTAACAATAACAAATTTAACAAAAAATTAATTAACAATGTTTATAAGTATAAATTTTCTTTCGAATGTAAAAAATATATTTACTTTTTCACTGTTGCTTTGTTTTTTTAACCACTAAAATTATTAATTAAAAATTATTTGAATGAGAGATATATCACATAGCAATAACTCATGGTATACTTATATGAAGAACTAAAATTAAAAATATTCATCATAAAATTGGCGAATAAAACCAAAGTGGTTTTTAATTAGACACGTTAAAAATATAAAGATGATAAATCGACTAAATCCCTTAGCCTTCCAAGCTAACGTTGAGGGTTTGATTCATATATACTCGATTGTAATGACTTTATGTTCAATCAATAAAAATTGATAAATACAAAAATTTTAGGCACGATGATATATGAATCTTATATAATTTAAATATAAACATAGAAATTTAAATAAACAATTTTGAAATAGTATAATTAAATTCAAAATATCAAAAAAAAGAAGAAGCATATATGGTTCTTACATATTCAAGAATTACAAATAAACAATATAAAACTTTACTTAAAATCATCACATATTTCTAATTAGAAAATAAAATTGATATAAATAATGTAAATTTTTAATTTAAATCATGACACATGTCGCTATCTAAAATCATTAGAACTATGATATATTATAAATCTTATATAATTTAAACTGAATAAAGAAACCAAAATAAATAATTTTAAGATACAACATTTGAACTAAAAATAAATAATTATAAACACGATGATATATGAATCTTTGATAATTTAAATATGAAAAGAAAAATTGAAATAAAAAATCTAACCATACTACAATCATAATTGAGGACAAACAAAAAACACAGTTAAGTAAAAAAAAAATTACAAAAAGGAAAAAAATTGATCTCTCATATTTCTAATTGAAAAAATAAACTCAAATAAATAATATGAAGATTAGTTTATTAAGTCATCACATATTTCTAATTGGAAAGAAAATTGAGATAAATAATATCAAATTTTAAATTAAATCATGACACATGATAAAATCTTTGAGGTTCATGATACTATTAATTACTAACTTTGAGAAACAAATATATTTAATAACATATGTTCCTTTTTCATAAATTTGCCTGATTTTTTTCTTGTTTAATTAAAATATATATTTTAATTAAAAAATGTATAATTTCCTTATTATTATTTTTTGACATTTTTTTAATTTTTTTTATAGAAATATTAGTTATTTACAATTATCCTTATAATTATCTTTTACATTTTTAAAATTATTTAAATTTCTAATTACTTACTATTATCTTTTGTATTTTAAAAAGTAAATTTTGGTTTTACACATGTCAAAATCTAATATCGATAGATTTACCCCATGTCACGATCATATGAGTTACTAACTTTGAAAAACATACTTTATATAATAAGATATGAGGCTTTTGCAAAAATACCCCTTTTTCAATGCCACTTTTCAAAAATGTCCATTCTTTAAAACCTTATAAAAAATGCTCCTAAAATATAAGATTTACCCAAATATGTATGTAACATTATTAAAACATACACAAATAAGTATCTAAAATCTTATAAATACTTTAAAATATCTTGTAAAACCTTTGAAAAACCTTTAAAATATCTTGTAAAACCTTTAAAATATCTTGTAAAACCTTTGAAAAACCTTTAAAAACCTTTAAAATATCTTGCAAAACATTTAAAAACACCTTATAAAATCTTATAAATACTTGGATCGAGTCTTCAAGTAATAGTTACCATCCATAAGTACCTTATAAACCTAATAAAATTTTATAAATTTTTCATATTTAAAAAGGGGCATTTTTGAAAATGGACATCTAAAATAGGCATTTTTGAAAAGGGGCACACCAAAAGGGGCATTTTTAACTATATATATATATATATATAATTTTTTTAAAAACATGAACGTTATAATAGACGCAGTTAATTGTGAAAGATAAAACTACTAAAACAAAGAGTTCTAATGAAAACATATGGTGAAACAACACAAATCTAAGATGCATTTAAAAAAAAAAACACAACGGTAAAATGATTTTTTTCAGATTATTATAATTATTATTATATAGAATATCAGTATCAAAACTTTTAAGTAATAACACTTTTAACTCAGTAATTTGGGACTGGCCAATCCTGAAAATATAAGTAGGTTTATTAGGGGAAAACGGTCAATATCAACTCAAACTATTTCTATGCGGTGTTTTCCAACCCAAACTTTGATATCCTACACTTAGCAACCCGAACTCATAAATTTCAAATAACAAATCTGAACTATGTAACCGTTAGCCAATTTCAACATATACCCGTGATTAAATAATGTAACAAACCTAAATTATGTAACCTTTAGCCAATTGAATAAAAGGAATGATTCAGATACAAAAGAACAGATGATTTCGACTTAGCAATTCTAATCGACATGAACAAATACAAAAAAAAAAATATGTTGAAATTGGCTAACGGTTACATAGTTCAGGTTTGTTATTTAAAAATTGTGTGAGTTCAGGTTGATAAGTCTAAGGGGTCAGAGTTTGGGTTGAAAAATGCTGCATGGAAATAGTTGGGGTTGATTTTGGCCATTTTCCCGGTTTATTAGGGAAAGGAGTACAATGCTAGATAGTGAAGAACAACAAAATTGAAATTATAGAAATTTGAGTTTCTTTATTGTTAGAACAATATACATTCAATTTTATTTGGAATCATCATAAAAAAAAAAAAATTATTCATCACTATCTAGCATTGTACTTTCAATTTTGTTGCTAATAAATGGTGAATGTTGTGATATAGTTGTGATTCCTGTAGAATAACAACATGCACCATAGTGCACACTCAAAAAATAAAATATGTATAGAGTTTTTTTAAAAAAACATGAATGTTTAAACAGACGCAGTTAATTGTGAAAGATAAAACTACTGAAACAAAGAGTTCTGATGAAAACATATGGTGAAACAACACAAATCTAAGATGCATTTAAAAAAAAAAAAAACACAACGGTAAAATAATTTTTTTTCAGATTATTATTATTATTATATAGAATATCAGTATCAAAACTTTTTAAGTAATAACACTTTTAGCTCAGTAAATTGGGACTGGCCAATCCTGCAAATATAAGTAGGTTTATATCAACTCAAACTATTTCTATGCTGTGTTTTCCAACCCAAACTCTGATATCTTGTACTTATCAACTCGAACACATTTAAATTTTAAATAACAAACCAGAACTATGTAACCGTTAGCCAATTTCAACATATACCTGTGATTAAAAAATGTAACAAATTTGAATTATATAACCTTTAGCTAATTAAATGAAAGGAATGATTTAGATACAAAAGAACATATAACTACGACTTAACACTTCTAATAAACATTAACGAATACATAAAAAACAATGTTGAAATTGGCTAACGGTTACATCGTTCATGTTTTTATTTAAAAATTGTGTGAGTTCAGGTTGATAAGTGCAAAGGGCCAGAATTTGGGTTGAAAAATACCGTATGAAAATAGTTAGGGTTGATTTTGGCTGTTTTCCTGATTTATTAGGGAAAGGAGTATCATTTTGAAGTGATTTAACTTAACATCTATAAAACTTTTTTTTCTAACATCTATAAATTGTTTATTGGTTCAGCCTCTTACACCCATCATGACCATAATATCGCCCTTTTTGAGAACACTGAGGCTCTCGGATATTCCAAGTTTGGTGGAGCTTCCATCTTCATTTCAAAATCTCTATTTACTGAAGCATTTGACAATTACAGAATGCATAAATCTTGAGTCTCTTCCAGCCAACATCAGCTTTGAATATCTTACTTGGCTCGACCTTAGTCGATGCTCACGGTTGAGGAGTTTTCCTGATATCTCAACCAACATCTCATTGCTCGACATAACTGAAACAGGGATCGAGGAGGTTCCATGGTGGATCCAAGACTTCTCTTGCCTTCGATACTTTTACATGAGTGGATGCAACAATTTACAATGCATATCCGTAAACATTTGTAAACTGAAAAGTCTTAAGATCGCTAATTTTGCACACTGTGGGGCATTGACTGAAGCTCGGATTAATGATAGTCCAAGTGAGGTGGCAGTGGAAACAGATAGTAGTTACTCTGAGTCACAAGTCTCTGACGAGTCTTCCTCTTCTCTTTCAGATAATTATATCCCCAAACTCGATCTCAATTTTAGGAATTGCTTCAACTTGGATCCAGAAGCTTTACTTCATCAACAATCATTTTTCAAGGACATAGTCTTGCCAGGTGAAGAAGTGCCTACATATTTCACTCATCGAACTTCTGGAAACTCCTCTTCTCTGACCAATATCTCTATGCCTTACACTTATCCTTACCAACCATTCTTTAGGACTAGGGCTTGCGCCGTGATTGATTATGATGGCATAATTACACCCGGTATATATATTCAACTATCTTGTCGGTTCGAGGGAAGATTCGGGAACCACTTTAATTCTACTTATAGAAAAGATTGTTTGTGGACAGATCAGAAGGTTAGTCATCTTTTTATATTTGACTGTCTTTTCCCTCTAAACAAAGACAATGATCCTATGGCTGAAGTGAACTACGATCAAGTGGATATAAACATTAGTCTCACTGGTGGCTGCAATTTAAAAGGATGGGGTATACGACTTTTTGAGGGCTATGAGACTGATCAGAGTGATGAGTGTGGAGACAATGATGATAGTGATAATCAGGGTGAAGAATGTGAAGAGTGTGATTCTAGTGATGATCAGAGTGAAGAGTCTGGAGACAGTGATAATCAGACCGTGATACGACTTTCTCAAGACTTTTCATCACCAGAGAACAGACTTGGTAATCCTAACACTCTTCCGCATGTTTGTGAAGCTAGTGAAGACAATATGCTTAATGATGGATGTCGTGAAACAGAACATGTTGGAGAATGTAGAGGCAACAATGTGGAGACAGAGAGAAGTAGTAAACGAATGCGGGTAAGCATTTAGTTTGAACTTAACATAATAATCTTATGTCTCAATTCTTTTTCAGAATCATTTGGAAACTATTTTATATAATAATATTTTTTTTACAGATTACGTGAAGGACACTCAAGAAACTATGAACCTTTGATTTATGAAATGAAATGAGTAAATTTTCTTGTTCAACAAGATTCTTCATTGCCTCCCTAGTTGGATAAACGTTTCAGGTAACCAAGTCTTGTAAACCAAAATCTTATTTTACTCCCACATCTGTTGTGAAACAAACCTTAGGGATGACTTATTTATGTTTTAATATATCGTATTATTTGAATTTAAGTTGAATTTACTAATATAAGAGGTTATTTAACATTTTCTTAAAAGGTGAAGGTATAAAAATCAACAAAAAAAAGTTCAGGATTTTTTAATATGATTTTAGGAAAGACGCGGATTTTTAATTTCCACCCATTTTTCATCTCTAAATATGAACCATTTCAATAGATTTTACCACTGATTAAAGAGTTGCTTCAATTGGTGATTTCATAAGCTGCCCTTTCTATTTTGATTTTCATGGTGCTAGATAATGTAATGACATATGGCTTTTTGACAACTTCATATGTACAGGGTTTGAAGAAATAACTCTAGTCATGCCATATATATATGAGGAATAACTCTAGTCTCTACCATAAGCCACATTTACGAACTGCCTTCTTGAATTTCATCCTCTTCTTCTAGTTTTTATTCATAAAAATGTCATTTTGGCCAGCGGCAATATTCTGCTTTGCTCTTTCAAAATTGTTCATTTATCAAAGTGTCACCTGCTTCAATATTTTATAAACTCAGTTTTTTTCGTATGTGAAATAATTAATTTTCATTTAAGAATTTTGTTTTGTGGTTTTGCATATATGAAATATTTTAGAATGACTTGCTTTATTCAATAGAAGAGAAGTGTATTTATACACATACAAAGTTCCTAATCTTGATAGAATCAAATCTAAGAGGATATATTTACATATATCCTAATACCCCCCCTCACGTTGGTAAGTCGTAATTACAAGTACCTAACGTGGACAATAAACGCTCAAATGTTGGTCTTGGAAGAGATTTTGTGAGAAGATCAGCAACTTGATCTGTGGTAGAAATGTGGATGGTAGAAATGAGTTTGTCTTGAACAGCATCGCGTACTTGATGACAATCTTTCTCTATATGTTTAGTGCGTTCGTGGAAGACGGGATTGGCAGCAATGTGGATAGCTGCTTCACTGTCACAAAATAAAGGAATCGGATGTGGATGATGAACCCCAAGAGTTGTCATAAGAGCCTTTAACCATTTGATTTCTTTGAGAGTGTAAGCCATGGCACGATATTCAGCTTCTGCAGACGAGGAGGAAACCGTTTCTTGCTTCTTGGTCTTCCATGAGATAGGAGAATCGCCGAAGTAGACGACATAAGCAGAAAGAGACCGACGAGTCCTTGGACACGCATTGTAATCACTGTCACAGTAGGCCGTAAGAGACAATGCACTGTCAAAACGGAGAAAAATACCTTGATCAGGTGGCCCCTTGAGATAACGGACTAGACGTAGAGCAGCCTCCCAATGAGCTTGAAGCGGAATTTGCATAAACTGGGAGAGAATGTGAACAGCATAGCTTAAGTCCGGCCGTGTGATCGTGAGATAAATGAAACGACCCACAAGACGTCGATATCGCTCAGGATTGTCGAATACCGGACTTGAGACTGAGCCAAGTTTGTGATGTAGTTCCATAGGTACTGCAGAAGGCTTACACCCAAGCATGCCCGCTTCATTAATAATGTCCAACGCATACTTACGTTGAGAGAGACAGAACCCGTCAGCTCCACGTGACACCTCAATGCCTAGAAAATATTTCAACTTGCCAAGATCTTTCATGTGGAAACACTTATGGAGTTGTTCCTTGAAGCGATTGATGGCATTGAGATTATTTCCAGCAATGACGAAATCATCCACGTAGACTAGGACATGAATGACCGTACCGTCACGGTGGAGTGAGAATAATGAGTAATCTTCGTAACATTGAGTAAAACCGAGCGTGCGAAGAGCAGTAGATAGCTTAGCAAACCAGCAACGAGGAGCTTGTTTGAGACCATATAAGGACTTGCGAAGGCGACAAACCTTTGAAGGATCAGAACATTTGACACATTGCAGAATTTTCATGTAAACCTCCTCCTCGAGGTCTCCGTGTAGAAAGGCGTTGTGGACGTCCATCTGATGGACCTCCCAGTTTTTAGCGGCAGCCACAGCTAAAAGAGAGCGAACGGTTGTCATTTTAGCCACTGGTGCAAAAGTTTCGTTGAAGTCAATGCCTTCCTTTTGGTGATTCCCCATGACCACAAGACGTGCTTTGTGGCGTTCCAGCGTACCATCAGAGTTGAATTTTAGCTTGTAAACCCATTTGCTATTTATGGCTTTTTTTCCATGTGGTAGATCTGTGATATCCCACGTGTGATTTGCTTCGAGAGCTTCGATTTCTTTTTGCATCGCCTCGCACCACTCTTTTATCAAAACTGCATCTTTGAAATGTTTTGGTTCCTTGCTATCAAGAATTGCTGCCATGAATGCGATGTGATTTGCTAAAAAACCAGAAGTAGTCAGAAAATCCGAGAGAGGATACAAAACCTTACCAGAGACTGTTGACGAGGCTTTTGAGTTGGAGAGACCAGGGGAAGAAGCGTGAGGAGAAGAGTGTACATTGTGAGTGACATAGTCGTTGAGGTAAACAGGAGGATTTTTAGAACGATGGCCTTTTCCTAACAGTTCAGGAAGACCCGGAGAAGAATTGGAATCGTGAGCATCATGAGTACGACTATGAGCCGGTCCTTTGTGTATTATAGTAGGTGAAGACGTAGAACTGATTGATTTTTCTTTAGGAGTAGTCGGAACATGATGAAAGTCCGTTGTGGTGGGAGAAGAAGGATGATCGATTATCGTATTTGCAGGATCAACCGAGCTCGCCAATGTGGAAGACGAACCAGGCGGAGCTGCAAGTGTGGGATCGATCGACCCAGGGAGGCGATCGATCGATCGGTGGGTTGCTGGAATCGTGTTCTCCAAAACCAGTGGCGATGGAGCGATCGATCCTCGGGTTGGATCGGTCGATCGATCACTATCAAGAGGACCAGTAGATACGGGATCGATCGATCCCGTAGGGTGATCGATCGATCGGTCAGAAGGAACAGCGGAGCATTGAACGACGGGTGAAAACCAGTCATCATCGGCCACTGTAAACGGTGGAGTTAGCACAGGCTCACTTGGTTTTGTAGAGGAAGCAAAAGGAAAAATATCCTCTTGAAAGCGAACATCTCTACTAGCAAAGATCTTTCCCGTGTCAAGATCATATACACGCCAAGCTTTCTTTCCATGAGGATATTCGATGAATATGCATTTTCGGCTACGGGATGCAAATTTATCTTTGTCACGAGGGCGAATGTGAGCATAGCATAAACATCCAAAAGTGCGAAGCATTGCATAAGATGGTCGTGTGCCAAACAGACCCTCATATGGAGTCTTGCCATTGAGAACAGATGATGGCGTTCTATTGATGAGATGCGTAGCAGTAAGAATGCTTTCTCCCCAAAATTTAATGGGAAGGTTACCTTGAAAGAGACATGCACGAGCGACGTTCAAGATGTGACGGTGTTTTCGTTCAACACGTCCATTTTGTTGTGGAGTGTCAACGCATGAGGTTTGATGTAGAATACCATGTTCCTGAAAGTACGATGTCAGACACATGAATTCTGTGCCGTTGTCACTGCGGATGGAGCGGACTTCTTTGCTGAACTGACGGTGGGCCATGGCACAAAAATTCCGTATCAATGAAGAATCTTCCGACTTAGCGGTCATAAGATATGTCCAAACGGAGCGTGAGTAGTCATCAACAAGAGTTAGAAAATAAACAGCACCGGTTGTAGAAGGAGTTCGATAAGGACCCCATACGTCGCAATGAACTAAAGAAAAACATTCCAAAGTTTTATTAATGCTAACGGAAAAAATCTCTTGTGTTTGTTTAGCCCGAGGACAAACATCACAACTGTCATTCTTGTCAAAATCACGACATTCGGGTAAAGAAGACAAAACACTATTAGATGGATGGCCTAATCTACGATGCCACAGGGCTCCAGGAGAGGCAGATTCCGACAAAGCTTTGTGAGAACGAGCAGCCAACACACCCGTAAAATAGTACACTCCCTCACGTGCTTCCCCCGCTCCAATCAAAGTCCTCGAAAAACGATCCTGTAAGAAACACAAAGTGTCAGTGAAAAGTGCTATAGAACCCGTCTGTTTAAGTAACTTCTGTTGGGGTTGGATTTCATCCCTTAGCACCGAGCCGGACTTTGGACGCCTCAGGGAACTTCTGAAGACACCTCGGGGAAGCATACCAACTATTTCGTAGGAAGCGAGCCATTCACCTCGGTGCAAAGTACCATTCACCTCGGGTCACTGCACCGGTTGCCTCGGGGAACGCCCATAGCCTGCTCGGGGTCTGTCAGCAAGCTTGTGAACCCGAGCCGGCTCTCTTCAAGCGCCCGAGCTGGTTCACTCCAGGAATCCGAGCCGGTTCGTGCCAGGACGCCCGAGCTGGCTCCTTCCGTGGACCCGAGCCGATTTCCCTCGGGAGCCTGGGCCGTGCCTCTCCTGTCCCCGAGCCGATTGCACAAGTCACCCGAGGCAAAGACTTAGTAAAATATTCGTCTTCAAAGTACCATTTCCAAGCGAGTCGTCATTTCCGAAAAAGAAGGATCATTTTCGATAGACCCGGAAATGATAAGGAAGAATCCCAAAGGATCAACTCAAATCAGGAAATCTTCCAAGAAACTCCGAAGAATAAGGAAATTATCCTTATTCCGCGATATTCTAAGCCGACTTCGAGATAAATGGAAATCATCCGAGAATATCGCTGGAGAGGCGGTTTATCACCCCTATATAAAGAGACTCAAGGCTCAAGCGGAGGGGCAAGCAAGATCGCTCTAGGATTTACACTACGCAAAGCTCTCACAGCACAAACATCTTTTTCTTTTACGATCAAACTCTTGTACGATCAAAACTACTCTTTTCATCAATAAGATCAAGAACACCATCTTTGGTTACAATTGTTTCTGTTGTTCTTTAAGAATTCACATTTATCGTATCCCTAAATTAAAACCCTAGACAAATCTCGATTGTGTTAGTTTCGACTTCCACAGTTTGGCGCCGTCTGTGGGGAATACTTTAGAATTCTCTTACCCTAAGACGCAGAACTCGATTACCGAAAAGCACGATGAACGAAGATGGTCGTCAGACACCACCAGCCGGAGGAGGGAACCCTAACCCTCCGAACCCTCAGAATCCTCAAGCCGATCCGACGATCATAGCGACTCTAGCCGAACTGAAAGATCTAATGGTTAAATTCCAGAAGAAAGCTGACGACCAAGAGAAAGCTAACAAAACCTTGGCGCAGCGAGTCGACGAAATCGCAACACGTGGGCAACAAAAAACCACGCGTTTCCAGACTCGGCCGCCACGAGCTCGGAGGGACTTGCCTGGTATCAACCCAACAAGACTCACGTTCGCGACGCCAACCGACAACACCAGAGTCGCAACCCGAGCCGACCCTGCCAGACGCGAGAACCAAGATGATCCCACCGAGCCAGACGCAGTGGACTTGACGGACGAGCCAGATGATCTGCAAGATGAGCGTACCCGAGCCGGAGCTAACTCCGCCGAGCGAACAGATCTCACTGACGATGAAGAAACTGAGGAGAACATAAGATGGGCCGAAGAATCCAAAAGGGAGGACGAGCTCAGCAAGATCCGAGCCTCCCTAGCCAAGGCGGAAGCTGATATGAAGCTCGTCA